AATTTAGGTCCTTGCACTTGCCGGGAGGTGCTTATTCCACTGAGCCATCTCCCCGGCCCTTACATTTACATTTAATATTGCTAACTCCTCATTGCACAGGCAGTACTCAGGCATAGTCTTACTAGTTAGTTAATCATGAACTACTTGGCCCACATTGCTGTTTTTTTTTTTTTTTTGGAATGTGGTTCAGTATTATTTACTTGCATGCTTTATCCCAGCACTGTGGTATTGAGTTAGCTCCACACACACCTCTCTTGAGACTGAGTCTTTTTTTCCCTTTTTTCTTTTTTGGTGGAACCAGGGATTGAACTCAGGTCCTTGTGCTTGCCAGGGAAGCGCTTATTCCACTGAGCCATCTCCCTGGCCCCGAGACTGAGTCTTGATAAGTTGCTAAACTGTCTCTGCTGGGCTTGAACTTGTGCTCCTCCCGTCTCAGCTTCCCAGAATATAGGTTGCAGGTGTACATCACCGTGCCTGGCTACCTACATGTTCTTAACATCTTACGTTGTTAAACACAGGAAATTCCTTGTAAGGAAATGATTAAGTTTGTGGCAAAACATCTGGAAAAATTGGGTAAATTCTCTTTTTTTTAAGATGAATAAGGATAACCTACCTTTGAGGCAAATGTCCAGAACGGTGAGGGAGGGGCTAAGTTCTCTTTGACCTTTATTTTATTTTATTTTTTGTTTTTTGATCTTTAGATTTACTTTTTTTTTTTTTTTTTTCCTGTAGAACTGGGGATTGAACTCAGGCCTTTGCACTTGCCAGGCAAGTGCTTATTCTACTGAGCTAATCTCTCCCTAAATAGATTTACCATCATTTGAAAACAACTGCTTTATCCTTAGGGCAGGACAATTTGCAGGTAAGCACCCTTACAAATTAACTTTTTAAAAATTACAAAGTAATATACCTTTAATATAAAACATTTCAAAAAGACAGGTAAGCAAAATAAGAAAAAAAAATAGTAGCGATAGGGAACAAAAAGACATGGGCCTATTTACAGAGATTGAAAGAAGTCAGTGGGGGCTGGGAAGATAGCTCAGTAGAATAAGCGCTTGCCTGGCAAGTGCAAGGGCCTGAGTTCAATGACCATCAGCGATTAAGGTTCTCTGGAAGTCTTACACCTAAGTGGACAGAGGCCTTGAGGCATCTGGTGTAGTTTTGGGTGTCTGCAGATGTACAGGAACCCGCAAGAGTCCATGCCTCATCTTACCCTTTCAGTCTCTGCTGCAAACAGGTTGGGTGCTGGAGGGGCACGCCCAGGTTGAGCCTCACAGTAACATCAATACTGCTTCAAGTGGTGGATATAAACGTTCAATACTGTATTACTCAGCCCCATTTTACAGATGCACTAAAGTTCCAAGAGATTAAGTAATTTTCTAATAACGGCCATTGTCATGATATAACCTTTTACTATTTCCAAAGTCTGAAGCTAAATTTCAGAGCATTCTGTGAAATCAAGAACACAGCCCTGGGGCTGGCAAGGTAGCTCAGCAGACTAAGCGCTTGTTTAGGCAAGCCCGGGGTCCCCGCCTGCGGGCCGTGCCCTGGGCATGCTGAGCCGGTGATAGAGTCTGGGCGTGGTGGAGCACGCCTGTAATCCCAGCACTAGGGAGGCACAAAACAGGAGGATCACTACCAGTCCGAGCTGCGAAGTGAGATCCTGCATAAAAAAATAAAAAACAAAAACACTCCCCCTCCCCCAAAAAAAACAAAACCCAGAAAACACAGCACTTCTGACTGCCTGTGAAGAGGAGTGAAGACAGCCTGGACCACTGTTATCGAGGGCACTGAGCAGCAAGCACCACTCTGAGCTGGACCACTGCTCTGCATTCGGGCCAGAAAAGCGTACGGGACCTTAAGCTCACCTTCCTTACCTGTATCAATTGAAGACCATCATACTGATCTTTCATCCCTTTGCTTGTGCAAGAGATAGCCTAAATCAATAATTTAAGACTCAGATTGGTCATAAACTAAAAAAAAAAAAAAGGAATGAACACAGCCTCGAAATAAGTACTGCCAGGCATCGTTCTTGTTCTTTAGTCACGCACCACACTTCCACACTTGGGAGTTCATGACATGAACTCTCTTCAGCTCTCAACCCCAGCTAGTTAATCTGTTTGTCTCATTCTGTGTTGGAGAGCAGTGGTTGTGGTGGTGGGCGGAGATAAAAATGGACATAAGTATCTCCGTTTCTGCTATACAGCTACTTACCTTTTACTTTATATCTGAGTTACCTACCTTACAAGGTTGTACCAGTTTGTATTCCCACCAGCTGTGTATGAGTGAGAAGTTTCTTCATATATTTACTTTCCTGGTTGTTCATTAAGCCTTTAAATGTATCCTTTCATTTGTGGGCTGTGGAAGTTAGTCTTTATTATGTAAAACGTGCTTTTGTTAACCAACATTCAGAATAGGAATGGGAGATGGCTCAGTGGAATAAGAGCTTCCCTGGCAAGCGCAAGGGGCTGAGTTCAATCCCCGGTTCCGCCAAAAAAAAAAAAATGGGGGCAGGGGAGATGGCTCAGTAGACTAAGCGCTCCGCTGGCAAGCTCAAGGGCTTGAATTCCATCCCCAGTTCCACCAAAAAAAAAAAAAAAAAAAAAAAAAAAAAAAAAAAAAAAAAAA